TATAATACTTGCATATTTGGAAGTCATTTACATTGCTCTATCTTTGCTCAGCATGAAGCATATTCAATTGTATATTAAAAAATTAATCAAATCTCATTTATTAACACGACTGAAAAGTTTAAAAAAGAAATATACCCCAGAAGCATCTCAGACCAAATTTAGAGTTTATATCTAAAAATGGAAACATTTTAAACTTGCAGTAGGAAACCACTCATATTTGTTTTATTGGGGCACTGGAAATGTTACAGTGTGGAATTTGCTCTGTGTTTACCAGGAACAGCACAATGGAACAAAAGAAAAGAAAAACTGAATAAGCATAGATATTATCACCATCACTCTTCTGTTCAGGGAGATTATCAGTCATACCTGTTCACTGTTCCATGATAAATTAATTTGTAATGCTAAACATGTTTCTGTATTTTGGAACCTGAAAAAAATACTATCACAACTATTTTTTGGTTTTGGCTTTGAAAATTACTTGTTGTTTTAAAGTATTTTCTAGGTTGTGTCATCTGCTTTTTTTTTCAGCAGAATATTATCGTATTTCTTCACAGATGAAACACAGGCAGTCCTCGACTTAAGACGTTTCGACTTACAATGAATGGCACTTATGACGTTTATAAATTGAAACCCTGTTTCGACTTTCTGACATCAGTTTCAACTTTATAATGCTTGATCTGACGCCACGCCATGCCACCAAACAAGTTCACTGCACCGCCCATCTCCCTGGAGAACATCTGTCCAAACTTCCTTGGACACTTTCTTTAAGAAAGCAGATAAGACTCCAGGAAACAGGGCAGCCAAGACTCCTGAGAAGACTCCAGCCAAGAGCCCTTCAAAAAGTCCAACCAAGAGCCCTTCAAAAAGTCCAGTAAAGTCACCTCAAAGAAGTCCTTCCAAATCAATATGATTGCTATTTACAATATAAATATATTAATGTAGCTATATTACTCATCTATAATTGATTAAGTACAAAATTCTGGGGGGTTTTGGTGAAAATAGAGTATTGGACCTTGGTTCAGGAACCAGTCCCCCATTTATAACATTGTTTCCTATGGGAAATATTCGAGTTACAACATTTCAACTTAAGAGGTGGTTTTCAGGAACCAATTGTGTCGCAAGTCCGAGGACTGCCTGTATAAGAATCTAGCAGCAACTTCTCTTATTGCCGAACAATACAGACCAGCAGTAAGGAATTCTAGTCGGTTTCCCTTCCCACTAAACTTCCCAGTGAAGTGACTGCAGGAGTGCTGCACTCCATACTTTCTCCATAATGCCCAACACTAGTAGCATATGTATGTTCATAATACAACATGTATTATGTACTAGATATTAGAAACAGAAGACCCCATTCTGATTTCAAGCAAGAGTGAAGAGGAAGTGAGTGACTCATAGAAATACGGGATACATTTGTTTCTGGAAGGAAACAAATCCTGGTTCATAAGGTCCATTTCCCTCTTTTCACAGACCGTCGCATCATATCATTCCTTTCATAAAATGATCAAACTCCATCTCCAAGGTAATGGGGAGGGGTGGGGATTTTATACTGCTCTCCACTAGCCCTATATGGAAGTTCTTCCATAAACTCAGTGGTCTGATGGTTAGAAACCTCTATATTTTCAGACTAAATTCATTAATGGCCAGTTAATGCTCCCTTAGCCTAAACAGCAATTTTCTCTCTGTGTACTCACTGTTTCGAAGGTCAGGTTCTTTGAGTAGATATGATATCTTTTATAAAACCAACTAAATAGCTGGGAAAAAGTTCTTTGCAAGCTTTCAGGCACACACACCCTTCGTCTGTTTGCAGCTGAAAAGCCTGCAAACAACTTTTTCCCCAACCATTTAGTTGGTCTAATAAAAGCTGTCACATTTACGCAAAGAATCTTGCCTGCCTGCATCCTTAGACCAACATGGCTACAACCAACAACCTTACTGTTTTGTTGTATTTATAGGATTGCAATTAGGAAGTCAGTAACATACCAGTATAAAATAAGAGTGAAATCAAAATCAGGTCTAGTATCTGTGAGAACACATCTGATGGCTGCTATCCATAAATGAAGTCCAGAATATCTTTTTTTTTTTTTTTTAATGTTGGCTATGAGTTATGTTCTGTGTCCTCAAAAAATCTAAATACTCTGGAGCCATTTGCAACACAAACCATGTAGAGGTGTTCTGAGTGAATGTGTTCATTCAATTTCCTTCAATTTTCACTGATATGTAAGCAGTGCTGCTAGTTAGCATTGGGTTACTACTACATATTGTACTAATATCTTGTGCAGGATTTAAGGGTGGACAAGGGCTACAGATAGCCAAACAGTCAAGACTGCATCTGAAAGGTTATTATGTGCACCTGTCTATAAGATACAATAGTGCAGATCCAAACATTGCCCAATCATCGCAGTTTGGAAATTTTCTGACAAATCTTTATTTTTGCCAGGAAATTCTGGTTCATGGAGCCCAACATTTTTGCTTGGAAATGAGTTGGCCCAGCACTGAAAGTGCTGAAAGTCCCTCCAGCACTGGCTGGGGAACCCTTAGAATGAGCTCTGTCTGTCCCCTTTCCTCCCCATTCTGAAAACTTTGCAGCCTTGCAGGGAAGAGGGACTGCTGCTAGGGAAAACCAGCTGCATACTCAAAGCCAGAAGCTAGATTCCTCTCTCCCCTGGAACCAACAGTGTTTGGTCTGGGGAATCACCGTAACTCAGAATGCTTCATGCAAAGTGTTCTCAGTTACAGCGGGGAGATACATTTCTGTCTGCACCCCAGAAGTTTAAGATCGTCTGTTATTGTTCCAGTCTGATTTAAACCAAAACCAACATTTTGGGAAAAAAGTGAAATTTCTTGAGAACACCAATAAACCATAGTGCTCAGCTATAGCAAGCTCTTTATTTTGTACAATAAAATCACAACTTACTTTACCCTTTAATTCATCTTCTGTACATAATATAGTTTTACTAGATCCTGCCTTTAAGTTACTTTCTACTCCACAGTAAGTGATAACAAGTCTATTCTGTTATGCTGCTTTCTTCATTAACGGTATATATGACTGATCTTATCTTACCCAAGACCTTAAACTTCACCAAGAAGCTTAGTACTTCATAGCAAGAGAAGTAAGGGAGAAGAAGAACAAAGGAAGAACTGAAATCAAGTTAAAATATTACATATTATCATATCTAACTGAAAATAATGTAGTAGCCTGTCTTGTAAAAACACTGTTGATAAAAATTATTAACCTATTTGCTACCAGGAAAACAAAACAAAACAATCCTGTAAATTACTTTTAATAATGACGACTTTATAAGTTAATTTCTTTTGTGATGTTCTCAACAAATACTTAGATCCATCTGAGAGTTTCATCATGTTTCATGCTTTTTGTTTTGTTTTCATGGAGAATGTATAAAAAAAAAAATTACCTGCTTTGTTCCTACATTCATAAAAATATGCACCTTCCCCTTCCCAACTCCAATGATTTATCAGCATCCTACATACACCAAACTTCATTCGGTTTCAACAGCTCGGATTCAAGTCACTATCACTTATCACCACTGTTGCAGTTCGGGTCTAATATTTTTTTTTTAAAAAGGACTGACTGTTGAATCAAAATGGATATTGTGATTTGGTGACATCTTCAGAAGTCACCAATAGTTAGGATATGCACAGAGCTCTCTTTCTTAGCATCTGAAGTGAGTTTGGCCTCACAAAAGCTTATATCTCTCTGACTTAGTCTATACGGTACGTATTTTCTGTCTTCAGAAGTAACAGACTACCATATAAAGCTGTCCCATCTTACCTATGCACAGTTTTGAAGTACCTGCCCAACTCACACATCCATTTGATTTGTTTGAAGTAGCTAGCAAACATATCCGTACCCTTATCTTCACTTGGGTGATATAACCTCGTGTCCATAATTGTTTTAAGGTAGAACCTTCAGGGCACACCTTAAGACCATTCTCTTTTCACAGCCTTTTTGACTGAGGACATGGCAGGGGTACGTTGGGTACAGGCGTAGTCTGTCCTATGAAGCATTGACTTTGATCAATTAATTTAGGTTTGATCAGTTTTATGTGGTCATTCAGAGGCAACATGATGAGCATGCTATAAATCTACACGTATATTTCAGAGACAACCTCGGTGAGATTTCTTAAGGAGGACATTTAAAACTTTAAAGAAAATTCCTTTTTAAATTAAGCCCCTGCTGAATTTCCTGGGCAAACTCTTATCTTCTAGCTATCTTTCTTTTATACTTTGAAGCTTTAACAACAACTATTATTATTATTATTATGTCTACAACAGTGCCCAAGAATGCAAGTGCTAAACAAACAACATAAGCATTTTATCACTTTCTATAACACTCAGCTACGATGTGGGCTTGGGAAGAAGTTGCTCATTCTAAGCACAGCAAGAATGAGACTGCTCATTGGAAACTAAAGCAGCAAAGGAAAAACATTTCCAGCATATTCCTGCAACCACAGTGGCACCACTCAGATTGAAAAAGGAACCAGCCTATTAGCATATTTCAAGTACAGCTCTGCATAGCCACCTATTCTTTTCCCCTGTATACAAATAAATGATACTTTTTCCATCTGGAAAACAGGCATGACTGACAGTTTTCCATCTGGGAAACTGGCATGAATAAGTTTTCCATCTGGGAAAACTGACCTTCAGTGTTGAAAAAAGTAGAGTGAAAAAAAACATTTAGCTTTTTCCACAAGCTAACAGAAATGACTACTTGGCACTCTCCGTCTGTCTGCCCGTCTGTTCCCCCCCCCACACACTAGGTAAAATAAAATTAAACAGCACCTAGCAAACATCTGGAGTAAAACTCATTTAACAAGGTACTTAAGCATATGTCTGACTTCAAACACTTGGGAAAATAAAGCAATTAGGCTACTGTGCTTAAAACTGGGCATGCATTTACATACTGTACCTGGGCCTAAGTAACAAAAATAAGTAAAAAAGAAAAATGATAAGAAATGGAAACAACACGTTTGACAACTTACTAAATAGACATCCAAAACTGAAGCATTATCATTCTCCATTTCCAGTGTGCTCTGTTCTGAAGTCAGGTAGATGGCACTGTCTTCTAATGTAAATGTTGAACTCGACGGTAACCCTTTACTGGAAATGGAAAAGGAAACATAACGAACACAAGAGGTAAATTACCAGAACACAAACATAAGACCTGAAACTTTAAAGCACAAAACCCCTCCTAAATTCTTACTTTTCCTTCTATTTGGTGAAAAAAGTACATTTCAAAAGACATTAGTTACATATGTAATTAGTGCAGTGAGGCAATAAGAAGAGCTAATCTTTATGCTGCAAGTGCAGTTATTTGATTGCTGGGCACATTCATGGAGAAGCAGCCTGGAATCGCAGGGATACTTCTGCATCCTTTTTGCAGGTAGATTTTGGGCCTCCATCTTAAAAAATTAACCTCTAAAGATGTGGTTCTTAACTGGGGTGCCATATTTTTCTGTACTAAAAAAAGAAGTAAAACCTAAGAGCTGGCATTTTCTGAGGGATGTCTTGAGCCTAACAAGGGGCATCTCAAGGCTAAAAAGGTTAAGAACCACTGCTTTCAAGCTTGCATTTTCAAAGGAGCTTAAGCTTACATGATTGGCTCACTGAAAGTCAATAGCAACCATGTAGCTAACTCCCATCAGCTCCTTTGAAAAACACAACCTAGATTTTTAAAGCCAAATTTTTAGATGGTGAAACTGCATTTCACCCACATATTGTGGGTCACAACTGCACATGGAACTGCATAAAATGGTACCATGCTGTGATTTAAGGAGAAAAGATTAATTTTTTCCTTCCCTGGAGAGTGATGCAATTCATGGTTTACCTACTTACACTGTGCATTTAGGACAGGATTTGCTCTTATGCTTACTCCCAAGGGAAATCAAATCAAATTAATATTAAGCACTGCACTGGTCAGTTTTTGAGACTTGGCAAACTTATTACTTAAAAACTATAAAACCAATACAAATTTAGACTATAAAACTGAATGGAAAAAGTGGTCAGCAAACCTGATGCCATATTCCTATTAGGTGCACAGTATTACATTAAGATAAACTATTGCTTTCATGATGTCGTACATTGGATGTCCTCAGTAATGAGGCTCTATCCCCTTGCCTCCTTCTGGACTGATTTAATTCTCATTGACTTTAGCAGGAGTTGGATCAGACCCTCTATCTATATTCCATTTAGCAACGTTTCAGTTGGGTCATTTTTTTGCCAATGCTTAGTTTAACTAATGGAATAAAGGAGACTCTTTGCCAGGGCAACACTGAAAGTGCTTCTTGAATGTTGACTACATTTTATCATCTTTTTTGCAAACCAAGCGCTGGCATGAAAGATACTGTCCTTGATAATAATAAAAAAAACTGACTAGAAATGAGTTGCTTTAGCTTTTGAGATTCAATTCTAATATTATAAAAGCCTTTGTCTGTCTGTCCGTAACGCTTTATTCGCACTCTGGTTGCCTCGGCAGCCAATCAGAGTGCTCTGGACAGACACACCCATGTGGAGTGCTGCCATAACAGTGGGGACTGGGGCAGGAGCCAGTGGGCTAGAGTGCCCCCCTCCAATAGCCAGCGGCGGGGGGAAGGCGGCAGGGAAGAGGGGAGGAAGGGAGGTGGGAGGAGCAGGAAGGCAGGGGGGTGGTGGTGACCAGTAGCTGCACCCTGCCACAACTGTCACTGTGGCCTGAAGGGGAGGGGGGAGCGGCACCAGCCCCAGCCCAAAGCAGCGGTGGGGAACGGCCCTGGTCCCTGGCCCAAAGTGGTGGGGGGGAGCGGCCCTGGCCCGAAGCGGCGGGGGGAGGCGAGGAGTGGGCTTGGACCCGGCCCAAAGCAGCGGCAGGGAGGGGGGGAAATGGCCCCAGCCTAAAAGGAAGGGGGATGGACGCAGGCCTCTGCCCCCACCCGCTTACTCCCCCCCCTCTTGATAGGTAATTTGCTAGTAAATACATAATGTCCATTTCAGACACCTGAGGGTGTGCAAAGGCAAGAGCACATACACACACACATGCATGACTCAGAAGAAGACAACAACGTTTTTGGGAGCTGGAGGATAGAAGTTAGTTACTACTTTTCTAGAAGGATGTGACATTAGAGGTTACAGAGACCAAAGGCTATTCTGTGTTTCGGATAGTTAGTCTCTGGACTTTTGGTTACAGATCACATTGTGGCAAGTTGCAGATTACAAAGCAAACATTCATTGCTACATTCTATTCTGTTAAATTAAGTAACTTAAATAGTTAAGCAGGCTCACCATATCCTAAGAAAACAACCACAATATGTTGTAACCTTTCCTGTCTTTGCCCCTAAAGCTGCAGTACTTGTATCCTACTGGCTCTCTACATCCAGAAAAGGAGCAAGCTTGCATGTTGGATTGGCAGCAGGGGAGGAAAGGTGCTTCTCTAGTTTCTCAGACCAAAACCATCTTCTCCCAGTCAAGTTAGTTTACTGGTTTCATTCAAAGCTTCCAAAAGAACAGCGTATTCTATTTTTTTGCCAGAAACAAAATGCTCTCCTTTCCTTACCACTGTACTTAATTTTAAGTTACAGCTGCTGCTGCTGTAGTCTGCTCTGAGGCTGCAGATGGCTACAGTGAGAACACACCAATAACATGATCTCAAGTGCTATATTCTTCTTTATGGCAATGTTGTGAAATATTTTTGGTTTATTTACTGTTCAGACACAATTCATTCTGGTAGCAGCAGCAGTAATAGCTTGTTTAAAAAATTAGAGGTACTGTCGTTTGTGAGGCAGGGGAAAGGGATGGGAGAGGCACACGGGCAGAGTGTGGGCCTAACTGGTGGCACACCTGCCAGGAAGGTTGCCCCCCACTTTTCCGCTTTCCCAACAGAAGACAGAATAAAAAGTAAAGGCCAAATGACACATCTTTAAGAGCAGCATACTTTCCATTATAGGTGGAAAGAGACACACACAGGCCAGGCTAAGGGACTGCTTCAGTATTCTGAGAAAGAAGAAGTGCTCAGTGAGCTAGCTAAGTTATGGAAACTGAATTACTGAGCACTAAACTGGAGAGTACAGACTCCAATGGCAAGGGACAATGGCAACCACCAAGAAAAAAAAAAAAAGGTATTGCCAGAAACCTTTCAGCAAAAACAACACCACTTTTATCCCAGAGGGTGGATACCCAGAGGCATATAAATTTCATGGCGAGGTCTTTTTCAGGGAGCAGAAAGAAGTTGCAACGACTACTATGACACATCCTTATAACAGAACACAGCCTCTTTTTTCATCAACCTCGAAATTCAGTAACTGGCAGATTACAGAAAATTTAACTCATACCTAAAGAAAAACTTTATTTCTACACAGGAAATAAAAAGAATGGTACTTGACATGGACAGAAGAAATTCTCCTAGTTTTACACAGCAGAAGTTTACTTTTAAGGTGAAACATCTGGTTTAGAAACAAGGCTGGAAAAGGCCAATGAACACAGACTGTCCGTATTGGGAAGCTAATCTGTGAAGTGGGGAAAGAAGTGGAAATTCTGAGTCACTGGCGCATTAGCGTGAAGTTGGAACCCACGCTGGTGTCAGAATGCCGACTTCAGCCATTGCCAGGATCCAAACTCTGCCACACATCAAGCTGCAGTGCAATGTTTATTAGTTATAAAATAACGTCACTTCAGTAACACTGTCAGTCTGCAGCAAACAGAGATAACTTCCAAACGGAAACATAACAGAATATGATGGCTGTGCCAACAAGGCTCCTCCATCAGAAATCAGCCTGATGGTAGACACTACTTTGCCATTTAGTTTATTAAAACTGCCATCTCATGACACAGTGGAGAAAGTTCCCAGCACAGTTTGGAAGTAATGGGGGGGTGTCAGGCAGGCAAATTACTGTTCACTTTGTCTTTGACTATATGATGAGAAACTAAACAGGCTTTCCCTTTTATTTTTCTGTGTACCTGGATCCTGCTTTGACAGGTACTTTGCAAGAAACACAAATAAGGATTGTGAGATTGGCATGAAGTTATGAAAAAATCATATGAGTTAAAGTGGATCTTCAGCAAATTTATAACAGCACAATTCTTATAGGTGACCTCTTCTAAGGCCCCTGCTACACATTATATATATCATGCAATTAACTGGTCAGTCACACAACAAATTTAAACTGGCCACACATGCAAAGTAAGACTAACCACAAGTGTAAAGTAATTATCACACAATTAACTGGTTAGACCAGCTACACATGCAAAGTAATTACCAAACAATAAAAATGACTGTCCATCTATAAAAGAGCCAACCAGCTAGAAAGCTGGTGCTTGAAAATGTGTGACAAATCTATAGCTGGTGCCTATCCAGCTTTAATTTGAATGTGTAGCAGGGCCCTGAGTGATATACAGGCAGTCCTCAGACTTATGACACAACTGGTTCCTGAAAACTATGTCTTAAGGCAAACTGTTGTAACTCGGAACCGATTTTCCCATAGGAAACAATGTTATAATGGGGGACTGGTTCTTGAACCAAGGGCCAATACCCTATTTTCACCAAAAATAACCAGGAATTTTGTACTCAATCAATTACAGATGAGTAATATAGCTACACTAATGTATTTATATTGTAAATAGCAATCATATTGCTTTGGAAGGCCTTCTTTGAAGTGACTTTGCTGGACTTTTTGAAGGGTTCCTGGCTGGAGTCTTCTCATGAAACCTGGCTGCAGGTTTTTCTGGAGTCTCGTCTGCTTTCTTAAAGGAAGTGTCCAAGGAAGTTTGGACAGATGTTCTCCAGGGAGATGGGTGATGCAGCAAACTTGTTCGCTGACGTGGTATGGCGCGAGATCAAGTGTTGTAAAGTCGAAATTAACATCAGAAAGTTGACAAAGGGTGTCAATTTATAAACGTTGTAAGTGCAAAACGTTGCAACTCAAAACGTTGTAAGTCGAGGACTGCCTATAATCCCACATGTTCCCTATTAGCTTATTTACTATTGAAGGCAACAAGACACTGCACTAGGGTAAAGAAACAGAGTACATTAAAATCTAGCAATCCCATTTGGGACAAACAACTGAACAGCCTGGAAATATCTGTTGAAAAAATTCACCAACTTTCCTAAATTTAAATAAGATATTTTTATC